TTTTTTCCCTTTTCAAGTACAAGACAAAATGTAATATGATATTTTAATTTTTTATTTTTAAAATTACACATTTCAAAAAATATTTATCATACTTATTTTAAAATTACTTTTCATAAAAATACAGTTTTCATTCACCAAAAAAAAAAACATTAATCCGGACTTGATTAAGTATAAAGGTATTTTAATATATTTTTTATTTTTAAATATAATTATTATATTTAATTAATTTGTTTAAATTATGTAAGTTTATTATTTTCTTTTATATTCAAAAATGAAAGAAGCATGATACGTTCACTAATCGCGTCTCTTTTCTCCTGAATAAAATAAAAACCCCGTTTCACCATTTTTAGTGTGACCAATCAAGTTGTTTTTAGCTTCTTCAATTATTTTAAATACAAATTAAAAACAAGGGATAAATATTCATGGATTTGGATCCTCTCATCATTATTTCTTTCATTTGTTTTCCTCATCCCATCCTCATTTTTGGATATAAAATTCAATAGTTAAAATTTAATCAAATTTATTTATCTATTTTATTTACAAGATCTTACCACTTTAGATCTATTTATTTATTTATTTATTTTTATTATAATAATTTTATATAACATCAATGCTTAACAGTTCAATTTTTAAATCAAAGGTAAGGATGGGGAAAAAAAACAATAAGGAAATGAAAAATAAGAGGATATAAGAGCCAGTCCATATCTGCCATCCAAATCAAATGTCACTCGCTGCTCGCAGCCACTGCACCAAATCAATTCACATGACGTTGCCACGGCATTGTGGGTTCATTTGTAAATAAATTATCATTGAAGGATTTAAAACCTCTAAAATTAAAATATGTGAACTGCTGTAAAGTTTTTCGTTTTTAATATTTTTTCATTTTATTTTTTTTACAAAATATAAAATCTTTTCTTTCTTTCTTGAAAAAAAAATCATAAAAATTCACAAATCTCAAGTTTAAATGATTTAAATCTATTAATTAACCAATTAAGCATTCAACCTCATTGTTCAACATTGCAACTTGCAAGGTGAGAACAAGCTAGGCCTCTATGAGAAGTCTGTATTATGGCTTATTTCAGGCATTAGCTTAGCCTATTTATTAAATAAGCTTAAGTCATATTTAGATATTTAATTAAGTTTATTTAGTTATATAGGCCGAGCTTATTTTTCAAGACCTAACCTATGAATCCAACAGACTGACATATTTATACACATATTATGTAATATATTACATGCGCATCAATTTCACCCTTTAATTTTTAATTAATTTATTATTATTTATTTCTAATTACGTTCTCAATTGGATTGAATTTATATATTAATTTTAATATTATTACCTTATTATTATATTGTACTGTATTGTGATTGATAAGTTCTTTTAATTATTATATATTATGATTAATAAATCAAGTTATATATTATATACTAATAGTTATAAATATATTCAAGATGTTTAAAACTAAAATACAAATTTATTTAAAAGGTTTACTTTTAAATAAGCTTTTAAATATATTTTCAAGTCAATTCAAATCAAGTTTTAAGTAGATGCATGTTTGAATTGAAAAAAAATATTATACAAATATCAGGTTAAATTTAGACTTTTAACTTATTATGTATATTTAAGTTTATTTAATTAAGTTTAATTTAATTTAACTTATTTTTATCCTTACTTGCAAGGATAGTATTATTGCCAACCTATTTGCATCCTTACTTGCAAGGACAGTACTATCGCCCCAATATGCTTGCTTCAGCACTATGCTAAGATGCCCCTCCTCTACAGTCTACACGCATGGACCGTTCCGCAGCTTTTTATTTTTATTTTTATTTTATTTTATACTTATTAAAATAAAATTCATAAAAAAATTTAAAAAATATTAAAATAAAGTTATCACTGCTCAAATATTAAAAATAAATTTTATTTTTATATTTTTTAAAAAAATTAAGAGTCAAAAATTTCAAATGAGAACTATTCAGAATAAATTTGCACAATCAATTTAAAAAATTATAAAAAATTCTAATATTAAACTTGGATCATTCATGTGAAATCTAGACTGTCCTTATTGATATATGCACACTTATTAATTTTTATTGTGTTAATAAATATAAAATAAAAATAAAAAACTCTAATCCAGACTATCCAAATTAGATTTGGGTAATTTAAATCTTATCTAGTAAAGAACAGGGGCAGTGGAGGGGAGAAGGCTAGTTGCCAATGGAATTATGGAAATGAGTTGATTGTCCCTCTGTTAGTCCTTGAATCTAACACCGTGTTTGGGAGATGTTTTTTGGAGGGAATGAAATAAAGTGGGAAGGTTCAAAGACCTAGCTATTGTTTGTAAGTGTTTTTTTTTTTTTTTTTTAAGGATAGAATGATAAGAAAGGGCCTATAAAGCTCTCATTTGTCATAACTCAATATTTTTTTGTCCTCTCAAATTGGAGGTCGAGGATAGAGTGACACAACATAATTATTTCACTTATAAAATTATCTCTAATCTCCTATCCTAATAAAAAAAAATCTCTCATGGCACTTTCATTCTCTATCTATCTCTCTTGCCTCTTATTGGGGTTACAAATAGGCAAGGATAAACTAGGCATCACCCCTATCTAGGCTAAACCAATATGCAATTGGGCACCAAACTGGCCTCACTAACTAGAAAATATTTTTATAAGTATTTTTTAAAAAATATAACAAAAAAGTTTTCATTGAAAAATCATTATTTTCATTATTATTTAAAACATATTCTCCAAAAAATTAATATCAAAATAAAAGAATTTTTTAAAGATTCAAATGGACAACAACCGCCAAATATTCTCACTTAATAACAAGTAAAAAACTAAATTTTGAATTTTGAATGAGATTTAAAAAATCATAAAGATAAAAAATGTTTAAAAAATTATAAAAATAATATAATTCATGATAATTTTCAATAAAAACTAATGCCATGTGATAAACATTGTTCACAAAAAATTAAAAAAAAAACTTGCACATATTCGAGCAAGGTAAGGTTTGACTTTTGCTGATACTTGATCTTATGTGACCGAATGCTTCTAGTGTGGTTGGGATGACTAGACATTCAAACACAATGGATGGCTCTACTTCCCACTATATCTCTCTCACTCCTTGCCCATCTCTCCCTCTTGCACCTTTTAATACTACGACTCTGTTGTGTTTTTCTTTTGTGTAATATAAATGTTTGCTTAAATAACTCTATTACTTACTTTTTGTATTCTTAATTTTTAAATATCTTGTTTCTTCATTAATTTAAATTATTATTATTACTTTTATTTTTTGTTGTGTAAATATTATAATTATTTATTTGACATTATTATTTTGTTTAAATTTAGTCATATGGTAATATTAAAAAAAATTATTTTGTTTCATCTATTTTATAATAACTCTCAAACAATAGTTATGTAAAACTATTTATTTTTATAATAAGACTCTTAAATAATAAAAAATTTTATTTATTTATTTATTTCAATCCACCCCGGCTCCATTTTATTTCATTCCATTAATAATTATTTATTTTTATTCAATACTAAACTTCCAAATACATTCTTAAAAGTTGAAAATCTCCCTTAAATCATTAAACACTTTTTTCCATGTCTTATCATCTTTCCTCCGCCGCGGAATCTCAAAATATTAATTATGGCCTTGGAGTACCTTTTACTTGGATCTGCAAGCAACTATGGCCTGGAAAAAAAACAATTATCTTGCCAAATACCACTTACATTTGTCCATGTTAATATATTCTCGATGCCAAAAAGGTTCTTGGACATTAAAAATAAAAACCAAATAGATTCATCAATAGAGAATTGACTATACAACAAAAACTCAAGCAATATCATCATTATGACATGCAAAGTTTTAGGATAAAAAAGTAAAATTGTTTGTTTTCAAAACATACATAAATAATTAATTATATTTTATTTCTCCACAGAACATTTCTACGTATATTATACATGATCCATGAATCACATGACTGGGGTATAAATATTAACATATTACATATTAAGTGGTGAATATTTATTTTAACTAAAATAAGAAATGCTTGCCTATATTTTTTTATCATTTTTAAATTTGATTTTTTTCAATATAATTAAAAAAGTCTACTCCAAAATAAGTAGTAAAATATCATTAACTTTCATTATAATATAAATTATTTAATAAATTCATAAAAAATTTAAGAATTTTACTACTTTACATGTATAGGCTTAAATAATTATTATTTAAAACAATTTTTATTAATTTTGTATAGTCTTAAACAATCTTTATTTTAAAAGGAAGATAGTATCCAATAATTCTTAAGGAAAAATGACAGTTTGATTCCAAAAAGTTAAACTAATGAAGTAATGATAGCTAGGTTCCTAATAATTTTTTAAAAAAAATGAGTTGTAAATATTAATTCAAATAATTACAAACAATACTTTTTATTATAATTTATGAGTTACATTTAATATTTAAATATTTATTTATAATTAAAATTTCTAAATTTGAATATGTATATTAATATTTTTAACTTATTTTTAAATTTTTTTTACCAGAGACTGGCTATTATTCTCCCAATCCTTACTTCCTATCTAAAATATAAAGCATTGACAATTGATTCATGATTTTTAAAAAATTAGTTAAAATATTAACTTCATAAAATTTCTTTACATATTTTTAATTTTACCCTCATTAATTATCCTATATAAATACTTTGATAATGATAATTGAAATTTTTAATGCTTTATTCTTTTAAAAAGAGTAATAAATAAATTAAAAATATAGTTAAAAAATAATTATAAAAATCATTCAATAGTCAATACTCTATATTTCAAATTAAATAAAATTTTTAAAAGTTGCCATATATTATAATATTTATTACACTTGCGGCCTGCTGGGAATATAGAATTCTTTTTAAAAAAAAAGAAAAAAAAGGAGGAGCGCGTGTTCCACAAGCACGTACGATAAGAAATGAAATGCTACAATAGACACGGACCAATTCGAGCAGATGCCGCTTTAACTGCTGCTCTATCATTGTATGGTCTCAAACTTCAATGGCTGCTGCGAAGATAGGAATCGGCGCGGGACTCGGCCTTCCCACCCGCCGATTCTCAATGGCCACACTCTCCTCCACCTCCCCCCATCAACCTCACCCCGTCGTCTTCCTCAACCCTTGCTCGTCTTCGTCCGCTCGACGCCCTGACTCGCTTCGAACTCGTCCTTCCCTCTCCAGACTCCGAGCCTCCTCCGCCGACGCGCCTAGCTCCCCAGGTTACTCACTCGCTTGCACAAGCATTACCAATCACTCAGACTTCTTCATGCTTCTTTTTCTCTTACCTTTGCCCGTGATGCTTGAATGCTTGGAATTGGAATTGTGTCATCACGTTTTGGAGATGATATAAAGATAAGATGCATGCTTATTGCGAATTCTTAGCTTCGAAGAAGTCCTGTTTTGTTATAGAGTATTAGTGCTGACGCTATATTCCGTCCCCGAAAGCAAAATTGGGGGAAAAAAGTAAAAGAAAGAAAGAAAGAAAGAAAGAGCTGTTCCTAGTCGGTCAGTCGGGTATTAAAAAATGGAGGAGCTTCTTAATTTCGGTAACTCTGAAACTAAACCCACATTGGCAGTGTGCGTTGAAAAAAAATCATATAGATACTAAGCTTATTTGTTGATAATACATAAATTTGATGCCAAATTGGAGTGAAGGACTAAAAAGTATTGGTCTTAATGTGATTTTGCTTTTCACAGGCCATGATGTCGAGAATGTTGTCATTATAGGTTCAGGCCCTGCAGGATACACAGCAGCAATATATGCAGCTCGTGCCAATTTAAAACCCCTAGTCTTTGAAGGTTACCAAGTAGGTGGCGTTCCTGGCGGGCAGTTGATGACCACCACTGAAGTGGAGAACTTTCCAGGATTTCCAGATGGGATAACTGGTCCCGATCTGATGGACAAGTAGTAGAACAAAGAAATGGATATTCAATTATCTTGTTATTCATTCGCATGAAGACCTTGTAATTCACACATTTACTGCCTACCTATGTAGGATGCGACGGCAAGCTGAGCGTTGGGGAGCAGAATTGTTCCAAGAAGACGTTGAAGTTCTTGACGTTAAAAATAGTCCTTTCACAGTCCAAAGCAGTGAACGTAAGGTGATATGTTCATCAGCAACAAGTTGATTTACGATTACATGATTGCATCAATTATTGATATTCTTGGTTCTTCTAAAGTGGATTTTTTTATCTTTGAATCTAACTGGTTAATTAAATCCGATTTCTTTTTCATTTCTTCTTCTTTTGAGTTAAAACATTTCAATGCTGCACAAGTGTGGTAAAGAAGTTTGTTCAGAAATTATGCCTCTTTTCTTTGGCAGAAAAGTAGTTATTGAGTTATCTGATTATTTTATTAACATTTTATTTCAGGTCAAGTGCCACACAGTCATATTTGCTACTGGAGCTACTGCAAAGAGACTCAGGCTACCCCGAGAAGATGAATTTTGGAGTAGAGGAATCAGTGCCTGTGCAATCTGTGATGGAGCCTCTCCTCTTTTTAAGGGTCAGGTCCTTGCTGTGGTAGGAGGGGGAGATACAGCTACAGAAGAAGCAATATACTTGACTAAATATGGTCGTCATGTGCACTTACTTGTGCGTAAGGCCCAACTAAAGGCTTCCAAAGCTATGCAAGATAGGTGGGTCTGAATCTGATGAACATTTCCCAACTTTAATTACTTGGTAGTCTGTGTTTTTATGTGGAGCTTTCTGTTTGGATTCCTTGATGAAGGTAAATTATATACTAATAAGCAACTTGTACTTGAGTTTTCAACTCCCTGAATGTTTGTTTAACAGGTTAATTATCACGAATGTTTCAGAGTGTTCAACAATCCCAATGTCACTGTGCACTTCAATACAGAGACTGTGGATGTCGTGAGCAATCCAAAAGGTCATATGTCTGGAATTCTAATTCGAAATATGGATACTGGGGAGGAGTCTGTGCTTGATGCAAAAGGGCTATTTTATGGTATTGGTCATTCACCAAACAGCCAACTACTGGAAGGGCAAGTGGCACTTGACCACTCTGGCTACATCTTAGTTAAAGAGGGTACTGCAAAAACTTCAGTTGAAGGTGTATTTGCAGCCGGAGATGTGCAGGTAACCTGTTGAATATATCCCTGTGTGTTTTTCTAAATAATCGCAAAACAAAGTAGAACTTATTCAGGACCAACTTCAGTAGTTATGAAATAATATTTCTTGGTACCGAGCATATAGTTACCATTTTTAAGTAGATTTTCTGAATCTTCCTTGTTTGATGTTACCATTTTTATGAAATTACCTGTGTGTAGTAATTGCCTTATGTCCCCTTAAAATTCGTCTTTTTTCTTTATTCTCTCATAGGATCACGAATGGAGACAAGCAGTAACAGCTGCTGGTTCTGGGTGCATTGCTGCATTAGCAGCTGAGAGATATCTTGTCAGCAATGATCTTCTTGTGGAGTTCCATCAGGTATTTGATTTCAATAGACTCCAAATTTTATGTGAGATTATTGTCCTCCAGATTGATGGTAATGATTTGTAAATATTACACTAATTTAATTTTTTGTTGCTAGGGTGTTTGAGTGTAAGTGAATTTGAGTTGATTGGAATGTCCATATCAAATAGAGTTAGGTTTAATAAATAATATATATATATATAAGTGGGATAATTTATAAGTTTGAGTTTTGAGATTTTGAGTTACGATGTATTACCGATTTCATACCATTTCTGCCTTAAAAAAGTTATCTCATTTTGGCTATAATTTTATCCTGAAAAGAAAACATTTTGCCTATGTTCCTAGAGTGGATATAGCTGCTCCTTGTAATTTAGGGGAAATTCCATTTAAGGTTCAGTATGTTCCAATAATTTTCTGTCTTTCTATTTACTTGTAACAGCCTGCATCTGAGGAGGTTAAGAAGGAATTAACAGACAGGGATGTTCAAGAGGGTTTTGATATCACAATGACAAAGCATAAAGGGCAGGTATGTGTTTCCTTGCCAGGTTCCTATGGGAATGAAATCTAGTTTTTATCGTGTAAAAAAAAAACAAAAAGAAATCAGGCTTTTACTGTTCTCACTCAAGTTCTTTTATCATTTAATTTTGGGTTCGAATTATAATGTGATTTCATTTTTTGTATCTTCTTTGCAGTATGCTCTTCGAAAATTGTACCATGAAAGTCCGCGGCTTATATGTGTAATATATACGGCACCAACATGTGGCCCATGTAGGACTCTGAAGCCAATTCTTAGTAAGGTATGTGAAAAGTGGGGGGATAAAAGCTATTTCACTTTCCTTAAATAGCATGGTACTTGCCATGTTTTTGGACTTTGGAATCATTTAACTTCTATCTTCTGTGATATGATATTGTGTCGTTCTTTTGATGCCTGGAACGAACACAACAAATGTCATGATATTGCTATTTGAAAGTTTGAAATCAGTAAAATTATAACCGGTTAGGATGATCAAGTGTGGGTGAACTTAAATTGATGTGAAAAGTTTCACATCAAATGCAGTAAAAATACTAATATATAATAAAGTGGAAAAACTCATAAATTTGAACTTTGACCTTTTGAGTTAAGGTATGTCATCCACACTGGTGACCATTTGTTCTTTCCCTACAGCCGCTCTCTTTTACCTAGGCTTTATGTATGATGGATATATCTTTCTCAAATTAAAAGTTGAAACCAAGAACTTTTTTCCCCAAAGGTAAGAACATTTATGTAGGGAACATGCCATGGAACACTTGGGGGCCCCTGCAATTTTCCTTGCTGAAGAAGAATGCTTTTAAAATGCACTTACTTGGGGTTTAAAAGTTTTGATGTCATGTTGTCCTGTGAACTTTGCTCAACCTATTTCATATGATTTTCTTCACGTGTAATATGATTTCTCAGTTAATTATAATATTTAATATTTGTAAATTTATTATGATTATCTTTATTATAAATTTATTAATTTAATTGTAAAATATTAGTTTTATAGTTTTGTTAATATATATCTTAGTGTTTTTATGTACCATAAACTACTACTTATCCTGATTCAATGTTGGGCATGGTTGTAAAACATTGATAATTTGTTTTAAATTATATATTGAAAGCAAAAAATGTTCTGAATTTCTTCCCTCATTGTCTCCCATGGCAGGTTATTGACGAATTTGATCAGAATATACATTTCGTTGAAATTGATATAGAGGAAGATCCAGAAATAGCTGAAGCAGCTGGAATCATGGGAACACCATGTGTGCAGTTTTTCAAAAACAAGGAGATGCTTAGGTAAGCTATGTATTATCTGTCCTTCGTCTTTACTTTTTCCCCTTATCATCCTCATTTTCATCGTTGTCATTATGGCATTATTTACTGATATTTAAGGATTAAATACATAATGCCATCGATAGCATTATGTACTGAAAGGCGATTGTCACCGACTTGCCTCGTGTATGTTATGATTGCTGGTATTTTCCTGCTGATGTTGGTGATATTGCAGGACTGTGTCTGGAGTGAAAATGAAGAGTGAGTACAGAGAATTCATCGAAGCAAATAAATAATAGTTCAGACATTCAAGAGAGAGGAGGAGGATTGATAGACACATGCCCTCATTTGGTGATTCATTTTTGTTTTCCAAACTGGTCAAGTGGAAAATACTGTCAATTTTGACAATTGTTCCTTGATCTAATGAGCAACTTCACAGACTGTACATGTAGAGCTTCGAACACTTCATTACAGGTTTTTGACTGTTCAGTGTATTTAAACTTGAACTGTGCAAGTCTCGATTATGATCTCAGTGACAGTATTATGGCGATTGGATTGACTTTTATTCAAGCAAGAATACTAATTTCAGATTTTATCATCTTCTTTATGATGAATAAACTTCTGTTCGAATTTAAATATTTTATGCTTGTGCTCATGCCCATAATCATGAAATAATTAAAAAGAATGAGAATTTAAATTTTGAAGGCATTTAAAGCTCATAAAATGATGACATTTGCAGACAAAATTGAAAACAAAAAAAATTGATATATACATAAATTCTCTTTGAATTTTAAGAGAGTTGCATTCCTTTCATTTTTAAAATTAACCTCTCTAACTTTAAATTTGGCTTATCAAAACACTTTACTATTAATTAACTCTATTATGTTATTAATAGAGTTTATGATATTAGATTAATGTAATACATATGATGCATAACATGAAAAAAATATTTTTATTATTTTTTAAGATAATTAAAGGAGGGGCAAAATTGTAATTGTCACTTTTAATACACCTGAATATCTAACATAAAAAAAATATCTGAAAGCTATCATTGATTGACAAAGAATATATAATTATAGTTTGATATAAAATGCTATTTTAATTTATAAAGAATAATTAAATTATAATTTTTCTTAAATTGTGTTCACCATAAAAAATGAGAACAATGTTGCTCAACTAAAAAAATATAAGAGGATTGTCGTGTGTGCTAAAAATAAAAAACATAATTTTACCCCTTTCTAAATTGTGTTAAAAATAATACAAAGATTTTTTTCCATGTCATGTGCTATGTATATTGCATTAATTTAACATGACAAACTCTATTAATAACATAATAAAGTTAATTAATAGTAGGGATTTTGAAAAATAAAATCAAAAGATAGCAGGTTAATTTTAAAAATTTAAAGATAAGGAGGATTATATGCAACTGTCTCAAAATTTAAATAAGTTTTATACATTTCAACCTTGATATATCAATTAAATTTGATTGTTTCCTTGATACTATTTGTGGTTTGGTAAATTGTGCCTTGTAATTAGAATTGTGGATGGAGGGACTATTGCACTAATTTTTATTTTTTTAGGTTATTGCCATGAATTTCATGAAACTCATTCTAATAGAAGTGAAAAACAAAAGATGTTTTTTTTTGTCATGTAGATTTTTTTATTAGAGATAATTTTATTTAAAATATTACATTAAATATAGATACTTCTCTCTAATGAAAATTCAAATATTGATTCATTACGTTGTGAAATATTAACTTTTTTCTCTAAACCCAACACTTAAAAAGTAGAAAATAAAAGATGAATATTGGTGAAAATGAGAAGTTGAGATAGTAAGTAACTTGCAAAGCTAGAATATGATTATTTTTTAACAAAGTATAAATTAAATCAACTATATAGACTATAGAGTTCAAATAGAACCAATCAACAAGAGCAAAAAGGAATTACACCAAAATATTAAAAGTTGAAAAAGCTCTTAATGTATGATCAACAAAAGCTCTAACTTGGCAAAAAATATTGTCAGAAGTGAAAGTTTTCCTTGGAAAAATGCATTTGTTCCTTGCATCTCATAGTTTCTAGCACAGAATATAACACTATTGTTGAATAATATCAAAATTAATAGAACCTAAATTTTGCAGTAAAAGGCAAGGTAAGTCGTCTTTTTAAGAGTTAATGAATTAACTATTTAAATTAAGATTGTAAAAAACTAAATAACAGTGGGATTTTTTTAATGAGAAAATTAATTTTAAAAAAATTAAATTAAAATTAAATAAATAAAGCTAGTTCAACTAAAAAAATTAATAAGTACAAGTAGCGTAATTAATCACAATTCAATCATCTAAACTCAATCTTTCTCATCCATAAAATAAATTGAATTTATATATATTTTTCAAATTATTATTTAAAAATTAAATAAAAAATTAAGTTATAAATTAATTAAAATCTCACTTAATCTATAACCTAACAACTGTTTTTATATTAGCTATACAAAAAACAACGCATGAATAATCATTCAAGTCAAGCCAAATTATTCTTTTGTTACTATATCAATCGATTATAATAAATATAACTTCAAATAAAATATATAACATAAAAGTCATGCAATAATTAACAATAATAATTAAAGTATAAAATTTAGAGATAAAAAAAAGAAAAAAATTTAAAATAAATATAAAATAAAATCTTTTTTAAACATCAAAAATTCTAATAAAATTTAACATCATAATTCATAATTGATTATATTTAAAAACATTAACTCTCTCCTACGAATGAAGCCATCGAAAAGTGAAAGATAGACGCAGACGATCGGCAAATCGCCAACGCCTCTGCTCCTTTTCTCAATTCTTTTGCCGCCAACTCCATTTCTTTTCTCTCAATTAAAAGCCGTGCGTCCAACAAATATAAAACCTAATAATCTAATAAAATGAAAAACTATTTTAAATAATCTTAATTAAAAATTATATTAAAAAAATAAAAATAAAAATAAACAAAATTTTTAAAATTTGATTCTTGACTTCATGCCCATATTATTCTATTTAAAATAATCTTCAACGATTTTTGCTCAAAAAAAAATAATCTTCAACGATATTTTTTAAATTAAATCCAGAAAAATTATACAAATAAAATAAAATAAAATAGTAAATGTGCAAAATATTAAAGATATTATTTAAACTTTAAAATTCAAGATTTAATTAGTTAAAATTTTAAAATTGAAGATTGGCCAATAAAATTAAATAATATGTGAGTAAACTCAATTAGTCTCAAATAAATATTTAAAATTTTAAATCAAAAAGATAAAAATGTATAAAATTTCCATTTATCATAATACATATCCCAATCTTTCAAGAGATGTTCATAGAGTCATCTTGCAAAACCGTTTTGAGCAAAGTGTGCATAATTGTCACATAAAAATCAGCATACATCAAGTGGTAGAACTTTCTTCCAGACAGCAGCAGCTAAATAGCAATGTTTGAAAACATGGTGAGTGTTCTCTATGGGAGCAGTACAAAGCTTGCAGGTTCAATCAGAGGTCATATGCTTACGATGCCTCTTTGCATTAGTGAGTAATTTGCCTTCAACAAAAGTCACATGAAGGTCTTCATACGTTGTGCAATAGGTAATTCTCAGGGTTTCTTTTGACTAATATCAGCCTCAGTCCAATGTAAAAATTGAGAAGCTTTATACATCGATTTAATGGTAAAGTTGCCATTAGAGTTAAACACTCCAGAAGTTAGAGGGCCTTGCACTATCATTGACATTGATGGCTGTACCTGCAATATCTTTAAGGCAAGATGGAGGTAATAAGTGTTGGAAAAGAGTCCATTGCCATTGGCCATTTGCATCTAAAAAATCAAAAAAGAATATGGTTAGTTAATCAAACAGATAAAACGATTGAACTGTCATCTTGCTATGGGCTCAAGCTTAAAATTCATCTTTTGGTGTCACTACTGTTAAATCATCCCCATCGCTCTAGCTTGCAGCTTCACTTCAATCAACATCCAATATATTCTCTGACCCAAATCCCGACCTCATCTAGGGGGCTGTGCCTATCTCCTTAAAAATGACAGGAAACATCTCTTCTTGTTTATTCTTTGTAGTATCATTATTGGAAATTGTAAAAAAAGCCTAAAATTTAATAAAAATAAAATGAATAATCTATTTTACTTCTTAAATAAAATATAACAACTTTAATAATATTAGATATAAATTTATCAATAATTTAATTTTAAAATGTAATGTTCTCTATAGTAATTTATACAATTAAAATTGATTCTGAATAAATTATTCAAACATCTTCAATTTTATTAAAATCAATTTTAGAAAAATGATATCTAAATAAATTACGTTATAACATAATCAATTATAATTAAAATTTATTATTTAATTAATTATTTTTATAATCTATTATATTCAATTGAAATTCAAACGAGCACTAAATCTTTGATTCTTTCATTGATGATTTTTACAGTTCAAAAACATATTTATGAATTTCAAAGTTTCTATGCCCAGGTATTTATTTGTCAAGACTTCCTCTTTTTTTCCCCCTTTTTATTACAAAATACAATTGGATAATGAAAAGCCTGCAGATTGGCCTGCGAAGAATTATCTGCTTCATTTGTTTCTTATAATACTCTGCTTCTTTATTTTAATTACGGTATTCATAGAAAACAGGCGTACTAAAGTAAAAGTCCGTGAGTTAAGCTTGACGAGGTACATATTGATAATAAGCAATAAATCTTTTAGAGCTTAGTATGCATATAACTAATAACAGATTCGCTTAATAATAATAATAATAATAATATATATTAAAGGCGGGAAATATTTATATGCCTTTATTTTTTTAAAAAAAAGAAAGATAAACATTACTATTTCTGGCCAAAAAATAGATATTATATAAATCAGAGACAAAAAGAATTGTAATCAAACAAGCACATGCTATCATGATTGCTATCAATTGAACAAAATCCAGCTAAGTAGCAGTTGTTATTATTTCGGGAAACAAAATTTAGATAAGTTATTTTAATTTGTCTGGTTTGTTCTGGCATCTAATATTGCGGTCCATTATCCCCACACACATTAGCGGTCAGGTTTGAATCAACAAATGCTATCAGAGAATACACTTGGAATTAAAAAAATAGGCATACGAGGACCGATTCCAACTTTCCAATTCTGGTTATTCCATTTCTTGAACTCACTTTTTTAACAAAATAGCCCCACTCGGGTAGGGTAGTTGGATAACCCACACTATACATGACTCATACATGACTCATACAGTTATTGCAGACTTAAACGCATACCCAAGGACCACATAAATGATATAGACAACACAACTAAACAATCCAAAACATGGCTATCAAATATTTTACTGTATCATTTTCCCTGCACGTGGGGTGTAAGAAGAAATCGGGCATGATAATATATCTATATTGCATCTTTTGAAGACGTGATGCCCTATTAATATTCAGCAGATAACGGAAGAGCTTGCTGTTTCTTGAAAGCCATACGACGCTGCTTATTGCTCAGTGAAAACCCTTCACTATAGTGTGGACTTACTTTGGCATAAAACCACCGCAAGGGTGATATCTGTCTTTTGTCATACCGAAGTACTAAGAAAAGGATAAATCGGTGAGCTATAAACAGGGTGACCAATGCTGTCATGTCCCACCACTTGTCATGATTAGTTGAGACCCCAAATGTCAATTTCAGAACTTGTTCTCCCTTAGCTTTGGGGTTACCAGGAATCAGAGGATCAAATTCAAGCCCCAGCATGTCATTCTTGAGTTGACCCTGCAGGTTATAACAATATCACTTCAGTTCATTATGTTTTTTTTTCCCTTTTAATTTTGACGGATCTCATAAACACTGAATATTGCACCTGCACTGCCCATGTAGCAAAGCTCAAGTAGGACATGGGGTAGCGCCAAAACAGCTTAGGTAGGTCAGGTAGTGGTCTGAACAATGGAGAACACATCACCATGAAAAGCTGCAATCACCGCCAGCAATTAAACTGTTCAGCAATTTCCAGAAAAGAAAAATTGTTTGAGACAGAGACGCTGAGTGATGTTTGCTTACGGTTACTCCAGTTGCTACTCCTATGCCCATGAGGACATTAGGCACCAGTGAAGCTACTACCATAAGGCAGCCCTCGATGATAGATAAGCAGACGAATAAGTTGAGGAAGAAGAAAATACATTGAGCTAAACCCAGGTGAAGTTTCACCATGGAGTATGTGATTGTAACAAAGAAGAGCGACGTAACAAGTAGGAAAGGGAAAGATGACAGGATGTTTGATAGTACAAACACAGCCTCCCCATAATGCCCTTTGGACCTTTCACCGTAGAACACCTGATTTTGGTTGGAGTTAGAAATGCAACAATAGGGTGTAACAAAGAGTTTCAGTAGGTTCAGTAGAAAAGGGATTTTCAATTCTATATACCTTCAATTCTTCAATGAAAACCGGTAATCCTCCAAATGACAGACAAATTATGAACCCATATATGAATGATACACACTTCCCTCTGGCCAAGATCGAGTCCTTGTCAGTACCAAGATGATAAAAGAAAAGACCAATGCCAGTGGCTGCCAGTGAATAGAAAAAGATCCTCAGCCAATAGTAGCCTAGGTCCCTTGACATGTTTAAGAATGATCGATGGGTCAAAGTGTAGAGCTGCTTCCAGTAGCTGGTATTGCCCCTTACGTTGGACTCAATCAATTCGTCTCCCTGCAACTTTGACAGCTCTTAATCTATCAGTAGCTTAAAAATGACCAAAAATATGAAAAGGCAACTAGAGTGCATTCCCATTGATACGGTGCATGAAGCTGAAATACTTTATTACATATACATGATAAACAATATTGAGTAATTCATACATTGGATTTCAAACACTGAATTATCCTTTTGGCATCGATTATTTGCCCTGAATTTTTGTAACTCTCAATGAGTGTCGCTCTAATGTCTTCTGTTTTATTGCCTGTTGTAGAATTTGATGACGCAGGCTGTCAATGATGAAATTCACATTCAGAATCAGAATTAAGATCTTTACCAAAAATGGTGCAAATAACAAGCTTCAACTAACAATACTTGCTTCAGATTTCATCGGAGCTACAGTAATGGCATCAAAGTCCGAATTAACACAGAGAAGGAAATGATCCGAAGGATTTCTTCTAGTGGGACAGGGGAACCCTGCATCAGCAAAGAACTGTTCCCAGGACACAATAAGAACGCTGAATTCTAGCAAAAATTCAACGAAACATTTGGTTTTCCCAAATTGCGTACCTTCAAAGCCATCTTTGTTTCTCCAAAATAAACAGTTTCTCCGCTCGATAGCAAGAGAAGATCATCAAAAAGGTTAAAGATTTCACTGCTCGGCTGGTGAATGGAACAGACAACGACCTTTCCATCATGAGCAATGCTGCATAGGGTTTGAATCACATAGAAAGCAGAGGCACTATCAAGTCCACTCGTCGGTTCATCCAGAAGCAAGACGTGGGGTTGTGTTAAAATCTCAAGGCCAATGCTGAGCCTCTTCTTTTCACCACTGCTAATACCACGTAAATGCCAGTTCCCAAGCTTACTGTCCGCACATTCTTCTAGACCCAACTGGATTATGGTTTCTTCCACCACCTTGTTTATCTCCTCTCGGGTCATTCTAGAAGGAAGCCTCAGATTTGCAGAGTATGCTAGGGTTTCTCTTACCGTCAAAGTTCCCAAGAACAATTCTTCTGTATCCACATAAGACTGGATAATATTGAAAACAAATACATACTATCATAAATCCGTCCCTATTTGCAGAGAGGATCGAACTTTAACAAAGCCGTGAATAGCAATGAATGTGGCAAGGAAAAGTCATATGGGTTTAGCAGCAGACGGACAGTTATCTTACCACTTCTTTGCAATTGAAGCATCTCTTCTTCCCACCGATTAGAACGTTGCCGGTCACTGCAACGTTCCGAGCAAGCCTTCCTGTACAAAACGTGGACGTTGCTCTTAGTAGAAATAACAAATTACTGAATGACTGGTGTTGAACTATTTGGACTTTGGGGTGACGCGGTTAGGGATGCGCCACCCCAAGACCCGGCAGTGGCAGCCATGTCTCGGTGGCGCAACACTAACGAAGTTCCGGTGAACTTACGTCCCTTGTGCGGCCAAAAAACTCTCTCTCTCTCTCTGTGTGTGCCAACGTGTAAACTCGAGTCCCGTGGAGCAGTAACTTTTTCCCCCCCGGAAGAAGAAGAAGAAAGCCACTGAGGGCACTTAAAAAAGCGTACTATTTTGAATCCATAGCGTACTATTTTGAGCCCGCCTATGCTAGCCCGTATGGATGACTCGTAAAATCATGTTGAGTTAAAGAGTAAAAATTTTCAAATAAAAAACAAAAGAAAAAAAGGTAGAGTTAAAAAGTACTCCTGATTCCAGGTCCAAATATACACTCACGCACACACTCCTAATTTGAAAAGGCATGTATGTATCATGAGAGTGACTTGAAAAAGTCTATGTCAAGACTTAACAACTGAATTCTTTTATATAAATATTTTAAAATTATGTTGTGGATTTTTGAATTGTAATCATAAAATTAGAAAGTATTGATTGTTTGGACTGTTGGAAGTTCCTAATACCTCCTAATACCGATATCTTGCGTTATGAAAACATGAACGCTGTGTTGTTGATGTAAAGTGCGTGTTTGTAAATTTAGAAAATGTCTATCATTTAGTTTACTAAATATTTGGATGTATTAATGCATTGATTGCAGATTGACATTAGAAATGACAAACAATTTTGGACACAGTCTTATTAATATCAAAACTCGATAACGTTCGAACATTTTCTTGATATTTTTTTGGATAGTTTGTAATATAAAGTATGAAATAGTCATACATTAACTTGTCAGATTCTCTGAATATGTACTTATCAATTACAAACATTTAGTTGTCAAAGTTCGTTTTTTCATGTATTTGCCTTTTCAACTAGAGGCATTTTTGACATTTTACGTTAGAACAAAATTCCACCTAAGTTGTTTAGGCTGCAAAAAAATTACATAATTGTATGTTTTCATGATGTAATGATGTCCCTTCTAAGGGGCTTAAATGACATTCTCCTTTGTTCCCCCCCCCCTCCTAGAGCGGTAAACTTGAGCCTTATAATACTTCTCCAACTTACGGAAATTGTCATCCTGGAGTGATATTATAGTATAATCTCTCTATTAAAAAATATAAAATATTTTTAATTTTTTTGATGTATAATTATTGTTTTTTTAAAGTGCATCTATTAATAATAACTTTATATTTATTATAAAGTATTTAATAGGAATAAATATGAAAAAATAAGGTTAGTTTGAAAGTAAGTAATTACTTTATTGAGAAGTGAGATTCGATTAAAAATACCTTACATTTTTTAACAGAGAGAGTACATAAATTAAAAAATATTATTAAATATTTTAGACTATGATAAGATTTATTAGTATTTTAATAAAATGCCTGTTATATAAGCATTACTTTAAATAATCTCTTTCATATATTAAAAGTGCAACAAAAATAATTTATATTCCATTAAAATTAAAAAATAAATATTTTAAAAATACTAAAAACTCTATAACAAATTTTTTAAATCAGGGAGTAAACAAAAAGTAATTAGCACTTTCTCCCTTGATTCCTTGTTACTATCAATAACAAATGCCATTTGACCGTCCAAATTTCTTATAGCATGAATTAAAAAAAAAGTACAAACTAACGGACTAACCTAGCATTCCCTGTCTACTCTCACAACAGAAAGTCAGAGATAGCATACAGTACCCAGAATGTATCTATTAATGACATGCGTGATAGTTGGCGGCAAAAAGAAACAGATGATGAGACAAGGAAACAGATACATGATGTAAAAGTGAATTTGATCGCTGTTGAATCGTGAGTTACCCAAAAATAAAGCATGCTATGCTAGGTGATAGTGCGTTGAAGTGGGTTACTTACTACCGCACGCCCATCAATCCACCGACTTCACCTAATCTTGTGGAAAATGAACAAAGCATTTATAATGATTTGACAGTCTATAAATTTAGTACTCTTCGATTTCAAAATATAAAACATTCTTTACGAGATAAGATATTAAAAAAATTTAAAGTGTTTTGAATCTTTCATCATTTAATTAGTATTTTTTTCATTATAAGTTTTTTAAAAAATTAAATATTTAAAAATATAAAATATTTTTAATCTTTTAAAATATAATTATTATTATTTTTTAAAAGTGTTTCTATTAACAATAACTTTATAATTATTATAGAGTATTTAATATGAATAAATATAAAAAGATAATATTAATTAAAAAGCAGGTAACTACTTTATTGAAAGATAAGATTTAATTAAAAATATATTATATTTTTAAACGAAAAGAATAAAATTTTTCTAAATATATCATTAATTAAGGAAGATAATTAATAAAAATTTTCAATCGAAACACTTTATGAAATAAAAGAAAATATAGAAAAAGAGTGTAATTTAAAAATAATAAATTAAGATATAGGAGTAGTTTAATTAAAAGTATTTTAAATATTGAATGGAGGAGTATATTTTATTTTTAATAATATTTATAATAATAGATGTAAAATATAAATCTAAAATAAATATAATTTTTATTGTTATTACTTTTTTTAAGAATTGTTTTTCACCTAAAAATTATAAATTTTAATCCAAAGGATTCAAATCTAATTCGGGCATGTTCGATCTCGTTGGAATGCCAGGTGTTGAATTTGGATACAGGCATTCCAGCAGTGGATATTTGGACTTTATTGACGACTCCCACCCTAAACAAGGAAAGCCAATAAAAATAAAAACGTTTTATTCAGGACAATCAACGCACACGTTTTTCCTCGTGAATACTCCTCAATTTTTTTTTTACATTATTTTTATTAATCTTATCAACAATAATAAAAAAAATAAAAACAAAAAATTAAAGTCAATGTTTGTTGAATTAAGAAAGTTAACGATTCATGGCTGACACATGTCAATAAAGTTGAATAGCCGAATCGTTGACGTAATAATTAAATTAAAAAATTATGTGTGTATATAATAATTTAAGTATAAAAAATGAAAATAAAATTATTACTTAACTTAAAAATAAAACTAAGTGTTTTAAGTTTATCATAATTTAATAAACTATATGATACAACATAATATCAAATGATTAAAAAATTAATTATTTTTTAAAAAAATTAAATAAAGAAAAAGGACATTGTTTAATAGTCCATTTTTTTGAAAATTAAATTCGATTCTCGATCTAAAGCGATCCGATCTAGCTCAACTTCTCAAAAAGTTTTTGTAACTTAGCTGAACTATTAGCCTAATCGATCAATGGTCAGACTGTCCGATTTAGTCCAGTTTTTTAATCATTGATTAGAAGTATAAAATTTCAAATATACTTTATATAACAAATTTAAAAAAATAATATCATGTTATTTTTTCTTTCTCATCAAAGATAATTTTAAAAATACTTTTTAAATATTATTTAAAAAATTATATCATATTTTATAAATGAGATTAAATAAATATTTTAAAACGTGTATTGTAAATAAGATCCAAAGAAGTATTTCAGCGATCAAATTATTAGTGTGGTAGTGAAGTTAAAACCGGAATCACTTTTTTTAAAAAAAATGAGAAAAACCATGCTCACTCTATTTTAGTTGCGATCATCTTTCAATGCTGCTATTATATGGAAGTAAGTCAATCTACTTTGCAAATAGATTTCAACGTTATCGTCACTGTATCTGTTCCAGTAACGCTAGTAACAGAGGGTGACGTAAGCCACTTAAAATCAAAGAGCAAATTGAGAATATTTAAAAAAAAAAAACAACTAATTTTACGTTGATGGAAACACCAGAATAGAGTTAAAAAAAATAGGCAGGCTCAATCTTTATGGCGCCGAGCTCCAAATAAAAAAAAACCTAGAATCTTTAAGTTTAATTTTTTATTTTTAACACCATTTTTGAAGCTTGACTTTTATTTAAAAAGTTCAAGATTAAGTCCTCAAGTCCTATTTTAAAAAATAAAATAAAATTAAACATTATAAATTAATTAAAATATTTTAAAATTAAAAAATTAAAATGTTCATAATATTTTAAAAATTTAAATTAATTATAACATTCATCAATCAAAATTTAAATCTTCCTCATCTTCATCATCTACAAATAAAATATTATAACCCTCAAAAGCAATCGCAAATTCAAAGTAGAGAGTGATTAGAGTTCAGCATGGTTTAGGAATTAAATTTAGGGAGGGCTCTAGGCGACAGGTTTGTAACTTCAAAGTTCAAGAGTGTATTTAGTGTTCCACACAAAAAATATATATAATTGGGTTTGAAATGTCACTCGGGCTCGAATTTTTTTTTATAGGATTTATCAAGGTCAAGCTCTTAAACCTTATTACTCTTTAAAAAAAATAATTTTAAAAATTCAAACCTTTATTTAAGCAAAATTTTTAAGCCGACCTTTTATACTAAAGTCAGAACATATGGGCTTGACTTATTTGAGATTAAGGTTAGCAGTACTATTCCTTTAAAACAGGTTATTTTTTTTTGAATTCAACACCTATTGATTTGGTGTAGGAAATGTTTAAAAACCTTTATATTTGTAATTTTTAAAAATTTTTAACATCTTGAATTTAATTCTCACATCATAATATTACATATTTATTCTATAGAGTATAAATTATAGTATTCTAAAATTTAGAATAATCAATATGGATCCTAATTTTAAAATACATTTTTAAAGTTTAAATTTAATAATTTTTTTAAAACCTCCATTTTCAAGGGCCACAATAAATACGTGATTTAAAAAAGTAACCAGAGCCTGTGGCGGTATTTCAGTGCTTGAGCGGGGCAAAAGCAAGAAAGGAACCTTGAGATTTTTAAAATATTAAATTAAACTCTAAAAAAGGTGGTTAATTAAGGAATAGCCCGATCCTGAACTCTACGTAAGAAGAACATGACAACAAAAAGCTGTTGCGTCAGGGTCCTGATGCAAGTGAGTGCATGGGAGAAAGTGTAGAGAATTAAGGAGAATGATGAGTACCGGACAGAGAGCGGAGGAGGGTGGTTTTGCCGGAGCCAGAAGGACCCATGAGGGCCATGAGCCTCCCTGGTTGGGCACACCCCGTGGCCTTGTTCACCACCACCTTCTTCTTCTGGTGTGCTTCCTTCACCTCCACCACCACTGTCAACTCCTCCCACCCCATCACACTTCTCTCCTCCC